AATAGAACCCCATAAAACCCAATTTTCAATCCCATAGTAGCCATCTCCATAAAATTAGTAATCTTTTGGTACCAATTTCATCAAAATCATCAACAAAAAATTAGAAAAATTTTGGCACCGGTTTCAAGAAAATCGATCCATTAATAAAAAATTATCCATTAATAAAAAATTAAACTTATCCTCCAAAAATTTTAAAAATTTTGGCACTGGTTTCAAAAAAATCGGTCAATTAATACTTTATTATTTCTCAAAATTTTTATAATTTTCAAACCGGTTTTTAAAAATCGGTAACAAAAAATTATTCATTAAAAAAATTATCCATAAAAAAATTCAGCTTGATATTTCAAAGTTTGCAGAAATTGGAGCAATTACGTATATATTTTTTTAACAGAAATTGTAAACCACTACTATTAGCAATTTTTCTAATTCTATTACATTCTTAAGTTCTTTTTACCTCTATCTATATATATAAGTACCTGACGTCTGTATGTCTGTCTGTCTGACCGCGAACTACTTGTTATTTTCCGAGAAATTTGATAAATTTCGTAACCGGTTTCCAAAAACCGGTCTTAATCGCTCTCGACAGTCGCGAATTGAAGTGACTGGTTAATTCCCGAAAAATTTGAAAAATTTCGGATACCGGTTTCCAAATAGATCGGTAACGAAAAATTATACATCTGAACATATTAGCATCAAAAACTTAAAACAAATCTTTTCTTTGGTTTCTCTACCTCTATTTCATAAATAATTCATTTAAATGTGGTTGATTAGATCCAACTTTATACGCAATAAAAGGTTCATATACGAAATTTATGAAAACAAAGCTTCCTCTGTGAGGAACCGGTTTCCAGAAAATCGGTAACAAAAAACTATACACATCATGGCACTCCCTGGAAAATTCTACTCCTATTTCATACACTTTTGGTAAAAATTCGGTCACTAACAAATGAGTAGTTCGCGGTCAGACAAACAGACAGACAGACAGAAGACGAACTGGTTTCCACTGTTTCCAGTGGCAATTAAACCCATCCTCAAAAAATTAATAAAATTTTTGAATCGAAAAATTGGAAAAATTTCTGAACCGGTTTCCAAAAAAATTGGTAACAAAAAATTATACAATTTATAGCATTTCCCAAGAAATTCTACCTCTACTTCATATACAATTCTTTGAGATTCGGTCAATTAATTCTCAAAAAATTTAAAAAATTTTGGTACCGGCTTCCAAAAAGATCGGTAACGAAAAATTATACACTTTATAGTACTCTCCGGAAAATTCTATCCCTGTTTGATCTATAAATCTTTAAGATTCGGTCAATTATTTCCCGAAAAATTGTAAAAATTTCTGATACCGGTTTCCAGAAAATCGGCAACGAAAAACTATACACTTTATCGCACTCCCCGGGAAATTCTACCCCTATTTCATGTACCCTTGATAAAAATTCGATCCACTAACGAATGAGTGGTTCGCAGTCAGACAGACAGACAGACAGACAGACGTCCGGTACTTATATATATAGATGTAGTAGTATATATAATTGCAATATAAATATGTAGTAGTATACCTATATGTTATATTTTTTTAATTGTAAGTATAAATGATATAAGAAATGTAGTTAAATGAACTACTTTCGTATTTAAATATACTTTAGTTGAATTAAAATTATAAATTAGCAAATAAAACTCGTTCGAAGAGACGCACGTTTGACGCGTGAGAATGTAATCTTCCGTCATATCTTAATATTACATAAACATAAATTCATTATAAATTTAGTTAGGCTTACGCCAATTTAGTTTGAATATTTTCAAGTATTTTTACATAATATTGTATCATCTGACTGAGCATATTGTTGCATGTAATGCACCTTAATATATCGTAAATTTACCGGTAATTGAAGATCTTGTATATGTATATGAACCAATCAATTTTCTTATATGCATTATGCGTTATGTAAAAGTTTGTGTTTCGACCTTTATTGCACACATGGCCATATTGCATAAAATAAGATATACAAAATAAGAAAATTATATTAACACTTTGCACACACGACTTTGTTGCGCACATATACTTTGCATACATGACTTTATTGCACATATACACATTGCACACATAATGTTATTGCTCTAGTTTTATGGACAAGATTTCCATAACTATGGGAATCTTGTCCATAAAACGTCATAATGTTAAAGTTATTTTTGAAGGTATTTTTAGCGAAGAATACGGGAAAAATACTTAAAAAATTCCACGATTAATAGATACCATCAATAAGCAATATTGACGCCAATATTCTTAAGTTGAATACACGTTTGATCTCGAATCTATCATAAATGTAAATGGAAGTGTGGGGTGGACCTCGCTTCGTGGTAAGTAGAAAACCCGAACTGTACAATGATAGACCTCGTTTCGCCCCTATAAGCAGGGGTGGGATGGGGTGGAGTAGACCTCGCTTTACGTGGAAATCCGTGTATGTACGCAATAAAGTCATATGTGCAATATGTGTATGTGCACAGTAATGTTATGTGTGCAATGTGTATATGCGCAATAAAGTCATGTGTGCAAAATGTATGTGCGCAACATAGTCGTGTGTGCAAAGTGTTAACATGATTTTCTTATTTTATGTGTCTTATTTTATGCAATATGGCCATGTGTGCAATAAAGGTCGAAACACAAACTTTTACATAACGCATAATGCATAAGAAAATTGATTGGTTCATATATATGTGCATAAGGAAATAGAACAATCCATTTTCTTATACTTATGCATTATGCGTTATGCAAAAGTCTGTGCTCCCCGCTTAAAGTCATATGTGCAATGTGTTTGTGCATAATAAGGCCATGTGCGCAAACGCACATTTGTATTTTTAATTATTACATGTGCGCAATAATGCTTGTAGGCAATCGCTTTGTAGGCAATTGGGAATGTCAACAAACGAAGCTATCAGCAAAATATTGTGGACAAATTGAACTGTTGGCAATCGAGAATGTAGGCAAACGGAACCCTCCCGGATTATCTACAAGGAATAACTAAATTATCGTATCAATTAATGAGATATTGTATAATGTACTAAAATAATCCGGATAAGTATAAAATGATAATTCGGATTTTATCTTTGAAAAATTATACTTTTTTAAAGAAAAGTTCAATTACAATTCATTACATTTTCAACCAGTGTGCAATATTTTTGCTTATCTTTTTAATATTTAAATATTCACATGCATGCAATTAGTTACGTCAGATGTGAAATTTCTAACCGTTCGAATGACGCAATTTTCTATTAAGTTTAACATTTCGCGTTCATCTTTTGATTTGCCTGTCGCAAACAAAAAACGTGTTCCTATATTTTTTGTATTACAAAATCTAACAAACTTTAAGAAATAAATTACTACAACATTGTATATCTAAATATATTAAAAATACTTATAATAATATATTTTTATAATATATTTTTATCTTAAAATCTATATTTTAAATTCTCCTCAGAAAATACATTTTAAATATTTGTTTTAAATGCGCGTGTTTAAAATATAATAACAAAATGTAAACGCAGCTTTTTATTATCGCGTTCGAAGTACGCAAATCAATGATCGATTGTCGCATGATTCTGCTGAAACTACATTTTTCAGCCGGTTCCAACGAAAACCAACTCGCAAACGGCACAAGGAAAAGAGCAACGGATCTAACAGGTCTAAAATTATTTCCCGTTTTGGAAGGTTCTTGAAGTTTCTCGGCGAGTTTTCTCGCCGGTTTCTTGTTTATTTTATTCTATTATATAGATAAAGTGCGATTTGATATAATCGTATTAACTCGAGTGGATTAAATTTGAATCTCCGGCCTCTGCAGTTCCGTTCTTCCGATCTTCGAGAGGTCTCAAATTTTCTCGTGGAGGGGCATAAAATTGCCGATTGAATTTTCGATTTTTCGAGAAATTTTTAGGATAGCAGCTTTGATCGAAGGATGAATACAACTGGAGGAGTGGGTTAACTTACCTTGCGCCGCAGGTGAACCATGTTGAGCGGAATATCTATCCAATGTAGAGAAAAAGAGATTGACTCAATAAAGAACACACGATTCTTGCTGTTTGTTCGCGCTGTTTCGAGTATCCGCACAGCTCATTCTACGTAAACGTTTGTCCTGTTCTTGTAGTTTTTTTTTTCTTTCTCTTCCCGATGCGAGCGTCGTTCAATCTCGGGTTTAAGCAACGGAATAAATAGCCAACAGACAATACCCTTTACGTTAAGTCGTCGCTTGCAACGTGTCTCGAGGGACGATAAAAAATGTGGAAAGAACAATCAAAAATTGGAAAAGCGGGGCTCACTCTCGGTATCTGAAATTGCACACTAATTTGGACGAATCGCGCACATACCCACACGGAGGCCGACGGTGGTTGAGTATTCACGAGTGGAAAAACGAGCGCGTTTACTCAGATGGAACGTTTGTTCGTTCACTCGCTTCCTCGCTCGCTCACTGATTACTGATTCAATCGTCCGATCACAAATACAGCGTGCTCGAATTAAACGTCGGTTAATATTTTATTTATCAGCAAGGCGTATACGAGAGAGAAAGAGAAGATGGACAAATATACAGAGGAAGGGGGAGAGAGGAAAGGAGGGTAGGAGGGAGGGAGGGAGAGAGGGAGGGAAGGAGGGTGGGAGGGAGGGAGGGAGGGAGGGAGAGAGGAGAGAGAGAGAGAGAGAGAGAGAGAGAGAGAGAGAGAGAGAGAGAGAGGAAGGCAGAAACGCGACCGCTAAGAACCAGCGTCCCTACTCTTTTTCCCAATCGAGCCGCTTGCCGATCGTCTTTGACGAAAAGAGGAAGGGAAGAAGAGATGGGGACAAGTTGATGATTTACGAGAAGGAGATATCGGACGCATAATCATGGGAAAGGGGAGGAAAAATTGCGTCAGGGTATACACAAGCTCGCTCGCACGCGCGCGAACGCACGGGGAATTAAAAACATGTTGATAATCGCGCGCCCCCTCCGCGTGCGATAAGTGGACGGGAGACCAGCACGCGGCGTTGTTATTCGCGAGAATCGTACGATCGTTCGATTCTCGAAAGTACCCGGCCGTGTCATAAATATTGATATTGGAGGCGTGGCACGGGCCGAGAGACGTAATAACCGATTTTTGTTGCACTTCGCGGGTGGTTGACAAGAAAAGCGACGTTAAGCGACCTACGTTTTAGTGACGTATTGTGACACGGCCGATTTACGAACCCGTCTTTCGCAATGCGTCAGCGTCGTCAGCGTCGTCTATGCGCAGCAGCGATTGAAGCACTACGTCTCATTGTCAGTTTAAGGGGTTAGACCACACAGATCATATCATCAAAAATTTATTTTTTTGTTTCAAATTAACGTTTATATAGTTTTAGAAATAATGTGTAAAACGTTCTGTTTGAAAATTTGCAGTATTTTTCGAGTTACAGCTTCTTTTAATCGAGGTCTCATTCAGGTAGCAAATGGAAATATTCGAGCACATGGACAACAAAGGATCTCTTAACTTTTGTTATTCTTTGTCAGTTTTCTTTCTCTTTCTCTTTTCTTGTTTCTAAGACAAGAATTGTAAAGGGAGAATATCAATTAGGTCTTATTAATTGTTAGTATTCAAGTCTTAGTCAATTGCTTATCAGAGATCATTAGAGTTGAAGTAAGAAAAATTGACCGAAAATAATTAAGGAATACTTCTTCTCGTTTTAAAAAAGAAATTGCGTCCGTACGGGATTAACCATCGAATACGTAAAATATAGGTGCGAGAAAGGAGACAAAATCCGTTTATGTTTTGATGAGAAACAAGCGTACAACGTGTTAAAAGAAGGGAGAATACAATGCGGACAATAATTGGCTTCCGTTGATCCAACAACAGAAGAGGAAAGCTTAATATATGGTGCAGGTATTGTCGAATAAAATATGTCTACATTTAATATATAAATCTATATTTCAAAACTTTTAACGTGGTTTTTCTCGAAACCATTGTTTCTCGAACTGATTTGCATTATAACTCGAAAACTGGTCACTTCTATAATAAACCAAAATACTTGTAATGAATGCCCTCCCCTATAAGGCTTTTTTTTGGGAAAAAAAAACATTTTTTTAATTAACAAAAAATTACGGGAATTTTGGTTAAATTTTTTTTAAATTTATATAAATTGTACATTTTTTCAAATTTTTAAAAATGGTTACCAGTAGGTAAGTATAAACACAATTAAGTAATCTAAATATAAATCTTTTTAGTAACTTAATTTCAGATAACCCTGCTCGGAGATGTGCAAACCAGAAGGGCTTGAAGAGAAAGAGGAAGAAAACTTGTTTGAGAATTTATTATAGGAGAATATTATAATTAGCACAAATTAATAAATAATATTTGAAAAATATAAGTTGTTTTTTATAGTTTAGAGTACAATCTATCTAATGTATTTAATCAATTTTATATTGCTTTTATCACATTTTTGTTGAAAAAAATTCCGAAAAGTAACCTCATTCCCTTATAGAAATTTAATACTGTAAGTGATTTTTTGGCTAGTAATTAATCACTTAAAAGCACTATTAAAAGCACTGTTAATAGTGCTTTTAATAGTGCTTTTAAATGATTAATCACTAGCCAAAAAATCACTTACAGTATTAAATTTTATTGGAAGACAACAACATATTTAGACTTGGCGCGGTTAAGATATGTGCGAGCGCGCTAGTGTAGCTTGATCTGCACCGTGATCTGTACCGAGCTGCTCTCCCTCGCTCTCTCGTAACGTTGAGCACGCACGCTGTACGATACGTATCTCACATTGCAAGAAAACGCATAAGCTGTACGAATATAAGATAAGTCAGGAGTACTTAATTGTCATCTACCAACTAAATAAAGGTCAAGGTATTTAGTAGTACAGCACATAACTCTCGATTTATTGCGTGTACCATCATATTCCTCGGGCATTTCTAATAAATTTCTATAAGGGTTTTCAAGCATCCAAAAGGTGTAACCCCTTAAATGTTTAATAATCACACTTTAAATATTTTAAATTCGACGATTATAAAAATATAAGTAAAAATAAGAAATATGGTTTGCAGAACATTTATTTCTTTAATTAGTTTATTATCAATACGTGGTGCAAGAGCATGCATTTGCAAGAGAAAGATAATAATTAGTCACGCAGAGAATTAAGACAGCTTCTTTAAGCACAAGAGAACTCATTAACATATTATTGCGGTATACGATTTGCAAAGTGACTTTAGAAACATTATACAATCACCATGTTTCTTCGAATAAAAAAACTATTACGAGATATATTTGGTTTCCGTGGTAAAAACTTCGTTTGCACATTTCTATTAGAAAATCAGTAGTAACTACTTAAGAGAAATGTAGTTTTTTGAAACCTCTAAAACAGAATAAAAATGTGAAAAATATGAAAAATAATAATATGTTTAAAAAATAATTTGTTAAAAAAATAAATATTAAATAATATATAACACATTGCATATATATAAATACAATGTATAAATAATAACAAGAAGGAAGAGTAATATTTCACAAATTTAAAAATTGTGGATTTTTATATGCATAAAATATCTATAAATATTTCTTTTTCTTTTTTATTTGATTGCAACTTATGATTTATAATAGTTAGGCATATTTTTTAAATGTTTCTAATTTGCTAAATGGTAATTCTTTAGAAAAACTTATACAGCTGAGATGACTTTGACCTTAAGGATGTTCTATAAGGACAGGTCCAGCCAAAAGTCATGGAAATCTTAAAAAACACCGATATTAATTCTCTAGAGATCCAAAGACAAAAAAATGTATACAAATATAGTTACGACAAATCTAATAAAATGTAAAAAACGTAGATTTAGTGACTGTAAATAACTGTTACTACTATTTTTTTCTTAAACAAAATCTTGGCAAAATAATTTTTGACAGTGAATTTGTCCTGAATTCAACTTAAAAAAATTAAATCTGTGAAAAATTAGAAAATAAAGTAATTGCTTTAAACTCGTAATTTCAGTCATATTTAATAATATAAATTAAATATATTGTATAAACATGAAAATTGTATTTTTATTATAATGATATTTGCTGTAAATATATTAATAAGCTACGCAGCTAAATGTGACAACACTGTACAATCCAAGAGGTTGGGAGGCCTGTTTTGACACACGCATATACTTACACAAATCAAATTAAGCTACATTGGAGGTTAATTTGAAAAGCTTGTTATTCAACCGCAATTATCGCACAAAAAATGTATCGATGGAAAGAAAAAATCGCTACTAAAAAACAATATAAGAAAAGACTTGCGCAACAGAAAAATGGGTATAAAAGAACAAAAAATCCAGTGGAAGAAAATATTGAGAATGCTGAAGAAAGTGTTCCAGAGGTTCCAGAGATTATGCATGGACCAACGTATCGTTGAATTGAAATGTTTAGGTGAACAACTGTGGTACATCTCATGTAAAGAAGTATTATCGCTACAATTTCTGGAGACTGAGATATATCAAGGGTTAGCATCAGAACTAATTATTAGATGTCACAAATGTTTGCTGTTGAATAAGGTCATTACGAGCAAAACTCATATTCCTGAATCCGGAAATAGAAGCAACCTTCGTTATGACATTAATTCAAAATGTGTACTAGGTAAAAATATTATTTTTTTACTTAAAAGTTAGATTTCAAAGCTGTATAATGTAATGTTAATTTTTATTATGTTTTATTTTTTTAAGAGCATTTCACAGTGGATTAGGCTAGCTGGTCACAATTAAATAAACTGGTTTGCATGTATGAATATACCCTGCTTCAATTTTATAACTTTTAAAAAATATGAAAAAAAAGTTGGATTAAAAATATAATAACATTGCCATTATATAGAATGCAATATGAATAAAAAATTATATTGTATTGGCAGACATGGATAATGTAAATATTTTATGATTTGAGCATTATTATAATAATTGCGTTACAATATTAATCTTTTTAGGCTTCCATTTCCATTAATTAGTTACTTTATAACTGTAAAAGTCACAACAAAATTCCTGTTTGTAATTTGACAATTTTAAAAATTAAAATGTTATATACATATAATAGGTACATTTTCAGTACTGCATCCGTTCATTTATTAAACCAGAAGTTAAATTAAGCAACTAATTAAATTATTAATATTAAATATTAATACAATAAGATATTTGTATTTACATTTATCAAAATAAAGAATAAGTTCAATTATGGAAATAAATATTAATAATTGGAATTATTAAAAATTAAATCATTTGTTCAGATATTGCACTCGAATTCTTTTCGCTTTTACAACGCCCAACCTTTTTACTTTAGATGGCGCAACGCGCGAGTTGCCACTCTCAAAGAGCCCCCACCTCCTCCCTCACTCGCGGCCGCACTTGCTTGCGTTTCTTCGAACGTGTCGAGTCTGTTATCTCTTTCTTGACGGATTGATCGTTGCGGCGCGTGTTCTGGAGACCAACCGAGCGAGAGTCGGATCACCAGGGAGAGCTCACCGCCAGGAAAGGGAGAGCTGCGGCAGCTAGCGTCCGAGAGGGAGGATCGAGGCGAGGAATCCGATCCAGCGAGCGAGGCCCTTAAGGTGATTCGGCTAGTACCATATGAGTCAATATAAGGCCTAAATTTTATTTTAAGAAAAACCATTTTTATGGATATATTCTAGACACTTGTATAATTACTGGTTTTATAATGTAACTTTTTATTCGATTATGTATCAATTTATCTACTGATAAATGTAAACAGTTCAAAATTTGACTTCAGTTGACATTCGTACAAGAGAAATGTCGCGACATTGCATCTCTTCGCTGTTAGACAGCTATCATGCCAGTGCCATGTGTTTGAGTGGGGTTATGTATTGTGTTTATGTTGAAAAATAATGGAAGGTAACAAACAATTTCGATAACAGAAGATTTGCTTGCAAAAGAATAGTGCTGTGGAAAGAAAACACTACACGGCGCGGCGTTGCTACATGTTCACGTCGCGTACAGCTGATCGAAAGGCCGACAAGAAACGCGATAATTCATCAACTTTTGATTGAATTTTTGGCCTTATTACACGTCAACGTCGTTTTGTCTTATACTTAACAAGTGCTAGAAGAATCAAATAATGTTATTTTCAGTTTTTTGAACTTGTTTCTTTACAGATAGTGAGTGAAATTTTCGAAAAATGTATGTTTTCGATACAATTTTCCATAAAACCTATGTTAAAAATGCCAACTTTGAGATTTAATATCTCAAAAACTAGACGTCAAATCTTTTCAAAATTGCAAATTTAAGCGTATTTAGGTTTTCTTTATAACATATTTTTAATTCGGATTTATTTCTTTGACATGCTCTGATGGCCCAATCACTTTAAGAGATTCTTATTGGGACGCCATATTTGAAGACAGACATTAGTCAAAAAAGTACAAGGGCCTCTGCTAGAGTTTATATTCGTCTTGAGATCTGAGAATTACTTTCATTCTTGTGGCTCTGGTTTGAAATTCTAGCCCAAGAACCGATCATATAGACATTGGGTGCTTTCCAGCAAGGAGACACAGAAAGACACTGTGTCACACAATTGAACACAGTGTAAGGGTGCTTACTGGAACAATCTAATTTTCGATGTACTCACTAGTTTGCGCTGATGTAAGCTTTTTTCTTCTAGATCTTAACCTTACTTATGAATCATCACTACTGTATCCTGTATCATTATAAGGTTATATTACATCGTACACTTTGGCATAAATCAGCAGTTTCTTATTTTTTAATATATTGTAAATATATTAAAAATATATTGTCATTGTAAATATTGTCTATAGTCAGTGTAAATATTGTAAGATATTGGATATTGGCAAATTAATCATTTATTGTAAGTAATTATATAAAAAAAAGGTTATATTTAATATTATATATAATAAATGTTACATAAATTATAAACATAATTCTAAAGCACTTTTATGAAACTTTTATAATCTTTTTTACAGATGAATATTAAGAAACATAAAATAATTATTCAACTGATGGAAACTGTAAATAATGAGAGTTCATCGAGTGATGAATTAAGTATACTCAACAGCAGTACAAGTAGTAGTAGTACATACATCTTCAAATAATGAAGAGGAAAATGAAGATGTATTATTATTCCCTTTGCTTAATAATTTGATGAATGGTCGGAAAAGACATCGCGTTGAAGATTATCTTCGAGTTGTTGATTCTTGGACGGACCAGGAATTTAAAGAACATTTACGTTTAAATCGACGTACAGCATTGATTTTAATTGAAGAATTGAAAGTCTCGCATTATATTCCATCACATTCTTTTGGCGTTAAATTAATATCGGCAAAACTTAGTTTTTTAATTTTTTTGTGGTATATTGCGAACACAGAACCACTTCGAACAATGTCTGATAGATTTAATGTTTCAATTTCTTCTGTTTTTAGAGTTCTTCGACGAATTATAGCTTGGCTTTTAACAAAAAAAGATATAATTATAAAATGGCCACAAGAAAATGAGATTATAATGGTATGTGAAAAATTTAACAGAAAACAAGGAATTCGTAATATTTTAGGAGCGATAGATTCGACTCACATTCAAATTCTGAAACCTAGCAGTAATGCACGTAATTATTGTAATCGAAAAAAATTTTTTTCAATAAATTTACAAGCTGTTGTAGATGCAGATATGCTTTTCACTAATATATATTGCGGTGAACCTGGTTCGCTTCATGACGCGCGGGTCTTCCGAAGATCATCTTTATATGAAACAGCTAGTATGGATAAAGAAATGTTATTTCCTGGCCAAACATTTCTATTAGGTGATTCGGCATATCCATGTTTACAATGGCTTGTTCCACCGTTTCGAGATAACGGGCATTTGTCACCTCAACAGAGGGAATTTAATTTTATGCATTCATCTACACGAATAGTTGTCGAAAGAGCGTTCGGGCAATTAAAAGGGCGTTTTCGTCGCATTAAATTCTTTACTGAATATCGTGACATATCTTTTATTACTAATACAGTAGTTGCGGCTTGTATACTACATAATTATTGCATTGGTAAAAATGATTTATATGATTTTTCTGAATATGTCGACGATTTTATAAACATTGAAAATAATAACGAAGAACTTAATAATTTTAATCAAGAACTAGACCGTAGGATGCAGTTGTTTAATGAGATATTTCCTATAAACTAAAAAATAACAGTCATAATTACAATAATTTATTACTTAATATTTGTATAGCTTACAAAAATTGGATTTTTTTTAAATAAATTAAAATACATGTTTTCTAATAATATTATTTTTATATATTTCTTTGTAATAACAACTTATAGTAACATTTATGCTTATTTGTATTTTATCAATTTACTTTACCGCTATTATCACAATAATGAACACTTTATATGTGCGTCCCATACTCACTTTCTCTATTAACAATTTAGTTAACAGTTTATATGTCATACTATATATTTTCAGTGCTAAAAATGAGTATGGAAACACATCTTATATGTAAAGACTTCTTATATCTAAAATACTCAATATGTAATTATCTTTAAACTTTATAATCATTTAGTTATAGTTTTAACTTTAATCATTTAAATGTTAGTTTCATGAAAATAAAAAATTACAGTTTTCATTTCTTTTTACGCCAAAAATAAAATTATATTACTGTATGTTTATTTATTTTGAATCATATATTTTGTTAGAATACTACTGTAGATATATTAAATAAATGAGCAAATACATAAGTCCAATAAAAATTATTAAACTTAAAAAAAAAAAAAAAAAACTTTGGCGTTACATATTTTAAAATAACAGTTTTTAAAATAAAAATTATATTAATATTTTTTTATCCATACAATAAAAGAAATAATTAAGTATTTTATATAATATATAAATTACATACAAAAAATAACGAATTTGTATATAGAATAATATGCAATTTACATTTAAATTTATATTTTACTGTATGAATAATTATAATTGCACAAAAACTGTGTAAGTTTTTAAAAATTATTCAGAATCTGAAATTTCATTTTTAATTAATTTTTTTAAAAGTTTGTATTTTTCTTTTTCTATTTCCATTAGTTGTGCATGTCTATTTTCTTTTTCTCTTAATTTTGCTGCAAAATATTCTTTTTGTTGTTCAATTTCCTTTTCTTTTAAAGTAATACGTTTTTTTTTTAATTTTAATATTTCTTTTTTTTGCTCAAAAGTTGCTGCATGTTTTTCATCGTTGAGTTTGTCACGTTCAGTTTTTGTTTTTATATATTCCAACCATTGGTTTTCAATTTCAACTTTTGTCTTTGCTATATTAGATCCAGTTCCGTGCAATGGACGTTTCCTTTTATTTGATGCAGGACTTTGTATTTCACTGTCACTGGATGTAGTCATTTGTACATTTTCATTGGAACATCTTGTTAATAAAGTGTTAGCATTTTTTGAAGTCTGCAGTAAAGTGTTAGCATTTTTTGAAGTTATTGTTGAAGACTTATTTGAATCACGTTTTTGTACGGATGAAGATGAAGACTTTTTTAAATAAGCCAAATTGGATGAAACAGTATGACTTGCAGCAGCGTTTCCTTGTTGGCCAAAGATCTCATCTAGTTGATCGTACCATTCAAAGGTCATTGGACTTCTTCCTGATTTACAGTTATTATCAACGCATTCCTTGTATTTTTTTATTAAAGCGTTCATTTTCCAACGAACCTGATCTGTAGTCATCTAAAATATAAAGTTATTATTTATGTATAAGTTTATAATTATATAGAATTTATGACAATCTAAAAAATTTTGCACGCTCTAATATTTTATACCTGTATTCCAAAATTTTCTTGTAAATCTGTAGAGATAGCGTCCCATATTTTAGTTTTTCTTTTTGGATGATCGAGCATTTCTATTTTCATTTCATAAAGACTGAGAAGTGCTAACGTACTATTTTTATCCCAGACTGCAGCTATAAAAAATGAACAAATTATATTAAACAATAAAATTCATTATTAAAGTTCTATATCTCTTTAAAAGAAACATAACCTTACGTTGTTTATTTACATGTGTGTTACATGTTTCCGTAGATAAATTTTCATTTATAGATGCACTTTCATCGCAGGTAGCAACTATAAAAAATGTACAAATTATATTATACAGATATTAAACAAATAAAATTGAATATTAAAGTTTTATTTATCTAAAATTTATGCTTACGTTGTTCATTATCACTTTGTACAAATAAATTGTTTTCTTCATCCATAAAAATTTGTTTTCCAATAAAACATGCGTGATTTGCGGCTTCATCAAGTAATACATTTTCCTCACAATATTTGCACTTCATTTTCTTTATTTTCTAATTTAGCAAAATTAATTACAGAACTACACAAAATGACATTTAGATAGTTATATATATAATAACAGAAAGTATTTTTTTATCTCCAGGGTTGTAAATATTAAAATTTTAAAAGTTACTGAAATTGGTAATCCTGATTTACGACACAACATCTCGACTTTGCTTCTCAGCTGTGTCGAGTTGTGTCGTATTGTGTCGTTGTAGGAAAGCACCTATGTCGACACTGTGTCGCACTGTGTCGTCTGTGTTGCTTGCTGGAAAGCACCCTTAATGCAGAGGCCCCATTCTCTTTTCATTTTTCTTTCTTACTTTTTTTTGTCATAATCGGTATTACGTTTCAGTAAACATTTGGACTCACATTTTCAATCAGTAATCCAGACATCGTAATTCCGTCTTGTAAGATCTGGTTTTTTATTTCAGTTCATTTATTTTCTATTCTATCTTTAGGACAGATTACTGATTTGGTTTGCTTTTATTTCAACTAATGTAAAAACTTTTTACTCTTAATTTCTTTTACTTTCAATTTCAGTTACTTTTAATTTCTTTTACATCAACATATTTTCTTTTTTTATAAAGATAACTACACATAATACAGACAAAATTGACTTCAAAGAAACTCTCTTTCTGTCGCTCACTTATCTAAAATTATAGACAAACCTGCCGTGTTTGCCATTACTTTTTAAATTCGGTAATTAAATTAAATAAAAAAATTAAATAATTAAAAATAAATATTAAAGACAGAAAGTAAAAAAGTTTTTATATATATAGGCACCTATATACAGGCATTATACTAATTATAATTGTATTCAGCCCTTTGTCTGCCTGCTCGACATACGGCACCGGAACTTAATTCCTACAAGGAAATGGTCTGACTCCATATTTGCTTTCCTGTATGTTCTTACTTGTAGTACGCTGGATGCTCCTCTTTTCTCTATTAGTACATGGTCAATCTGGTTGCACGTTAAGCCATCCGGTGAGTTCCATGTTCCCTTATGTATGTTTTTTTTAGGGAAGTACGTTGAGCTGACTGTCATATTCCTGCTAGTCGCAAAATCTATCACTCGAAAGCCGTTATTGTTTGACTCTGCGTGTAAGCTCTCCTTCCCTATGATCGGGCGGTATATTATATCTCTTCCGATTTTAGCGTTTAACTCTCCCAGCACCATTTTAATATCATTAGACGGGGTCGTATTATATGCCCGTTACAGTGTATTATATTACAGAAGGAGTCTTTGATAGGGTCTTTCTTTTCCTCTATTTCCGCGTGCACGTTGATCAGACTAAGATTAAAGAATCTGGTTTTTATTCTGATAGCACACATTCTGTCACTGATTGGTCGAAACTCTATTATATTGTCTCGGTCAAGCCGGGCACCATAGACCCGAAGGACTTCCTCGCCGAGGCGTAAATCATGAAGAAACTCCGACACGCCAAGCTAATTCAATTGTACGCT